CCGTCAGTTCGTTTCGTAGCATTTAGTTTCTTTTTGTTCTTCCACCTCGCACAATTTAAGAAAAAAAAACGAGAGAAAGAGTATGAGAAGAGAATAAATGAGGAGAGGAGCAAAAGCAGGAGGGAAGATTATGATTGCAATTTATATGCGTTATTGACGTGGTGACACATGTTTCGGGTCGGGTTTGTTCTGCTCTGTTCCTTTTCCGTTCATATCCTCTTCCGTTCTATTCTGTTCCTGTTTGGTTCTATTCTGTTCCGCTTTGTTTTTCTGTTCTAACTCTCCTGTTCTATTCTCATTCCTCTCAGAGTCATCATGTTGTTTATTTAATTCACTTCTTAACAACATTTGTTACTCTCATTAATTATGTTGTTACTAACATTAGCAAACTACAAGATTTGTTAATAAGCAGTGATTTCATTGATCGTACTTGTCTGTATGTGATATATTATGCTAGGTTATATATCCTGTCATGTGTGTGTGTGTGTGTGTGTGTATGTGTATGTGTGTATTTTGCGTGTACCTATCCATATTTTTTGTGGATGAGGGATTTTATAGCTTTCGAAGCAGTAATTCTGCGTTATTCATAGTGTATGATGTTCTTATTAAAGCGTTCCGCCAAATAGCTTTCAAGTATTTTGACAGTGATATGCTTTAAGTGTTGACCTCTGCTCTCTTGGTGCAACGAATTTCTCTACGATGTGGTGCGTATATGTCCCCTATAAATGATGCTTATGAAGTAGATAAATTATTGTCAGTATCTTCCTTGACTAGTGGACATCTGAGAGATTTTCACTGGTTATTTAAGCCATTACGCTTCGAAACCATACAGCCATTTTATTTCATACTTTAATGAGGTAGGTATATCCTCCCAAAAACTAGCATCTTTTTTACTGTTGCTGCTGCAGTATATAGTATCGCTAACCGTTTCATTACTGATCTGAGACTGTCATTCATGCTACGAAATAATTATCTTAATTATAAACTCATTTGTAAGTAAATGTATTATTGTTCGTCCAAGTCATTATCAGATCAGTACTGATAATAATAATATTAATATAATTGCAGTAGTAATAGTAGCAGAAATATCAGGAGAGGGGAATTTGAGAAATGAGGATATAGTAAGGTTATAAGGGCATTTCAGCGGAAAGATGCTGTTTTGCTTATTGTATGCCTCCTAGAATTTTGCTGTTAACGTTTATTTTGTCAGAAATAATTCAGTTTTCTTAGCTGAAAATTCTTTTTCCGCATTATCCATGAAGCACCCCATTTTCGTAGCGCTTTGATGGCTAGCAGTAGTGCTGTTTTCACTGCTGTTCTGATCCATGATATGTACGGAAATTCCTTCGTATAGCTCTGGAATTGTATATTTTATAGCCATTGTCGCAAAGGGCAACTGCATAACTCTTGCCCGCATTTAGACCATCGTTGCATTGTTATTCCTAGGTATTTTTGGTATTTATGAAGGAGTTGTTTCATCTGCTGCACCGATATGAACATATAAACGAACGTCCACAAAATAGATGCCGGTATTGGAATGTTAGCAGACCCCATTTGATATAAAATGCATCTTAACCAGTAACTAAACACTGTTACAGTGGACCTAGAAAAATCATCTTTGTACAAAGGGTAGCCTTCTTATAATGATTAGTTAGCGTACAACGAAAATTGCTCTTTTGTGAAAGAATGAATAGATGGTTATTCGTTGCTAAACTTCGTGCTGTCGTTGCTTACAATTTACTTGTGATTTTCCCAAAGTCTTACTCTATTTTTCTTTCCGTTCTGGATGTACGCATTTTGAAGTGCTATCACTACAGCCTTCTGCTATTGCTGATAGTATTTTGTGTTGCGCCTGCATAAATTTGGAGAAATTCAATGGTTCGGGCAGTGCTATGTGCGGTCAGTAGTCGTACAGTTGAGCAGGTTGTTGATATGAGCAGTAAGTCATTAATTTGTCCATCTGTTCCTTTTGCTCTAAACCTTATTCGTCGTCAAATTTAATTGCTTCTAGTTTCACCGCGCTTTGCCTCTTTTTCTTTGCTCTTTAGTCTTTTTTTTTTTTTTTTTTGTTTCATCTCCGTCCGGATCAAAAAAACGTAACACTATAAGTAATTTCTTCAAAAATTTTAAACCAAGAGAAGCTTCCATATTTAATGAAGAAGAGATTATTTCATCCAATGACATCATGGAAACACATAAGCGAAGTTTATGTATATCATAGTCACCTTCAAACATGCAACGTGAGAAGGTTGGCTGATGCAAGAACTCAGAAAATTAGAAGATTGGAGCAGCTGCTTCATTCTGCTGGTGGTTCTTTATAAAGTGGGGGTCAGTATTTTGACAGATATCTAAGGTATTTAGGAACATAAATTATGGACTTAAGGTAGTTTTATTTCTTACTCTAACTTTGCTTCTAATGCTGTGAATTTATGTTATTGTCTTTCATAACAAACACTTAGTTGCAGTAAAATAGGTGTGGAAACTCTGGTCACTAGTTTTGTGTAGTGCTTGTTATAGTGTGACTCAGGACTTTTTTGTTTTAGTTTTTGGCAAGAAATTGTGGGTATTTGGTATGAATTTATATAGAACCCAACTAAAGATGCAGATTACCTTGTATTTCTTTCTTAACCATCTTATTCAGTTAAAGTTTGAATTTTCAGAAATTCGTTCCCAGCTGAATGAGCAATTGCGTTGTTTGGAAACTCGAACAGAAGCACAGGTAAATCATATCGTCTGCAGTTTTCTTCTGCATGATTCGAGTAGTTTTGCAACTTTTAAAGTAATGTTTTATTCTTTTTGAAAATTTGGCATTATAATTAGCTACCGTGAATGAGATTCATTTTTGATTAGTAAGACAGACTGGAAGGGACTTTCATGCAGCTGTTCTTGAAATTTCCTCGAGAAATCAACTGCTGCAGATTGCTATTTTATTGGAACTAAATGATTACTATCGGAGGAAGGCGGAACTTGATGGCGAGTATGGGAAACAGCTCGAAAAACTTGCAAAAAATATTATGCAAAAGCATAAAAATGAGCGGTATAAGTAGGTTTTATATTTTTGTCGATTTCTACAAATTATTAAAATTTCATAGGAGATTTATATTCTGAAAAATATGTTACGGAGTATGATAATATGCGTTTATAACAATATGCACTTTTCAGACTTAGTTTTATTTGTAGTCCCTCCTTTTTCATAAGTAGCAAAAGAATGGGAAAGCTTGTGACGAAGCTATAGGAGATGAAGAGGGGTTGCCGGGTTGCCGAACTATAAGTAATGCATATGAGTACTAGTCTAGAACGAACTTAAAAATTCATTTAGAAGGTAAGTAATCCACCACCTAAAACAGGTAGGTGCGTTGAAACAAGTAGGTTACTCATATGAATGACGAACTCTTATTGGCGGTGAGTTAAGGATTTCTGTATGCCAAAATTTTATTAGCATTTAATGTTGGGTCGAGTTGACGAGAAACGGCTGCAAATAGTTACCCCCGGCATTGACACTATTTTGCTTGTCACGACCATCTCCAGAAGCGACAGAAGCGACTTTATTAGGTAAGACAGTGTGACAGTGAAAGCCACTAGTTATAAATGGAATTTTATTATAAAATAATGCCGCAATAACACCTTTTATATTCAGAAAATTAAAAGGAGCAAAAATTTCTTTGTTTTTGACTGTGGCGAAAAAATAGACCTGCGATTATTGTTGTCACGACTTTCTGTTATATGCTTTTTTGTAAAAATCCATTCGTTTATTTGATTACTATTTCACACCGGGATTGTATAATTCTACTTCATATGCATTGCGCAAATCCTAATTTAATTGGCATTATTGAAATTTATTATTATTACTTTTTTTTTTCATTTTCATAGATTTTCAGACGCGATTCTTGGACCTTACATTCAACCTGTGGGTTGTGGCAACAGCTGGTAGATCAAACAAAAGAGGAAGCTAAGCAAAAGATGGCATTGGCTGATTTGTATGCAGCTCGTCTTACAGTACTTATTACTCAGAGAGCAGATGATTTACAACGTATTTTTCGAAAAGTATGACTTTTTCTTAAAAAAAAAAAATTATTTGCACATTTAAAACCTATTTAAAAGAAACTTAAACTCTGAAACTTATTTACACGGGCAGGCTAAAAATATACTCTATTACTACATGTACGACTACCAAATAAACAGCTAATTGTTCGTTACCAAAAGGTTTTTAATGATAGATATCTTCGATTATTAGTGCTGAAAGATTACGTTATCAACATAAATCCCTCCTTGAACATGATGGATGGATAAACATGAACGCATGGAATACAGTATATTGATAATGCAAGTAAGGGAACGTATTGAATAAAAATTGGATTGATAGAGCAATATATGTGATAAAAACGGCTTGGTTTGAGTTTGATGAATAGGCGAATCTCCTTGAGACCACCATTTCAGAACGGTCGTTCATTCTACCGTTATTTTATCTGTGCTTTCTTTTTTAGTGTGATAGCACAGAGACGGATGCTTCCATCTCAGTTCTATCACACTCTCCGCGGTATTTATCATCTCCACATCGCTTACATTAATGAATGAACGGGATCTATTTCTCTTTTCAGTGCGGTATACGTACGCGATATTTTCCTTGATTCTTGCTACAGTTCTCTTCTCATTCCACCGATATATTCTGCACATTCTAAATAAGTTATTTTGTCCAGACTTTGTTTAATACTGACTTTTCTATTTGCTATACAGTATCGACTCTCCAAATATCTGTTGGAGATATTGATGGAGGTCCTGGAAAGGTGTTTGTAATGTTAATATATTTCTGAAATTTTTGTACTTGAATAATGAAGGTTTCAGTGATAAAGGATTTGATTATCAGTTACCTCTTTATCTTCATAGGAATTTGTGGAGAGTGCACCAAATTCTTTTACTTCTTTCTTACATTGCTGTGTCATAATTTCCTTCAGATTGTGAAACAGGCAGCAATTGTGTACTTTGTAGGTCGTTAACGAGTAATTTATCGTTATATCCTTCATCTGCTTCTGAGTCAAATCATTTATTTTTCTGTTAGATTCTGACTGGTGTTGAGAAAGAAAGACCATCACTATTTATGTTTCGTGCGAAGATTTTTTATTGCCTTGGTGATTTTCCAAAAATACGGTTTAAGACTTCTCTATACATGCAATATTGTCAATTTTGATATTCGAAACATGTATTAATTAATTTTGCTCCTCATTTTCTTCATGGGCTCGAGGAATTATAATTTCTCATAACATGTTCTCTCAAAAATATAATTTAAACTAATCTGTACCTTCTGTTATGATTAGGAATCAGTGTTACAGTGTCGCGAGATAGGGGCACTCGCTCACGGTGAAATATGTCGAGTGCTGAACGAACTACATACTGCCATGAGAACTTATCAGGTATGTTACTCTTTTGAGGTAATCAGTTCCGAACTGTATGTGTCACTGACTTTAGACTGTATTATCCCCGTGTAGATAATATTCTAAGGTTATATTTCATATTCCAAGGTTATATCAGTACTACATTGATCTGCAAAATTGTGCATGTTGTGTTTCATACTGCTTCCAGTTCCCAGTTTTAACTATTTTTATAAGTTTTTTTATCAAAAATAAAAGTTTTTTCTTTACAGCTTTGTTTTCTCGAATGTTCAGCTATAGAAAGTAAATTTCGCCAAGTTGAAGAAAATAAGACGAGGTATGAGGAGAATAATCCGACTAAGCTTGGTATTACTCGTAAACATCGATGTTTGGCAAAGCTTTATAATAAGGTAAATTTGAACAAATTATTTCTAATAAAAGTTTAATAAGTTGCAAAGACATTCTGCCTTCTTTATTTTACAAAATAATTTTCAGAGACTTGAAAAATACAACACGGTAAAACTGAAATGTTTGAAAGCCAGAAATGAATATCTGTTATGTGTGCAGGCAGCTAATGCAGCTTTGCATAAGTATTTTGCTGACGACATTTCTGATCTCATCGATGTATGTTTTACACCATTCTAAGAAAAAACATTGGCGATGAAAAATCACTTGAAAGTGCTTATACTATACTATTTCGTTTCAGTTGAAAAAGCATTTTATATTATGATTTGTCAAAATTTCATTCAGTGCATGGATCTTGGTATGGATCAGTGGTTACAAGGTTTTATCAGTTGTACAATCACAGCGCGGAAAGATATATGTCAGAAAGAAATGGATGCTTTGGCAGAGCTTTGTGGATTTAAAGAATCACTCGATTCAAAAGCGGATAAGCAGCGGTTTATTGAAGCAAACCATGCTACTTTCATGCTGCCGAAACGATTTGAATTTAGGTCAACACTGTCACATATTTTTAAATTCCCAAATTCGGCAGAGTCGATATCAACTTCTAATTCGCTTGGATGAGCTTTCAAAATTTCTGGATTCGTTTCCCAAAATTTTCGTAGTTCATTCCAAATCGGTCATTTATTACGTTACCCTTTTTTAGCTTTATATTTTCAAAACAAAAATTTCCAGAGGACAGCTTGGTGACACAGTGTCTACGGTAAGTGCAACCGATGTCGTTGCCGAAGAATTAAAACAGCGGCATCTGCAAATCGAACGGAGACTTGCTAATGTGAGGTATTTAGTTTTTGGAATTGATATTCGCCTCATGCATATTGTTTGAATTCAGAGAGATGTTATTTGGAAGTTTGGTTAGATTCTGATTATGGTTCGTGGTTCTTCACTAATGTTTCGTTTTTGTCTATTTCCAGTTAAACCCCTTTGAGCTTTTTTGCGAAAGAAAACTTATTAATGGAAACATTTTTTGTGTGAAATAATTTCCATTTTTAAGAATTGAATCGGAAGAAATATGGAAAACTTTGGAATCCACAGAAAAAGCGGTTGCTGAACGTTTTATCGAAGCAATGACTAGTTCGGTTGCAGCCGCTGAAATTCCAAGTGATACGTCGCGTGAAGATTGTAATGACGCAAACATTTACAACTTCAGGAATAGAATAAATGCTAACGAATTATATGACTTTTATCTTGGAGTTAGTCTTATCTTCTTTTATCTATTTAGGTTTTAACTTGTCTTAATTTCTTTGCTTTTTTTTGACATTGTTATATATAATTTAGGATAATTTCTTCTAGTAAGAGCTACCTTTAATGATATTTTTTTCAGAAATTTAGTCATTATA